CCTCGGTTTATTGTCCCATCCGAACGACTAGACAATTTTTCCATGTCAGCCCCTCTTACCTGCATCACTGACAGGGGGAAACCCGGGTTGAAAAATCCGAAGGTTTCATCTCGACCTATGCCGGGATTGAACCCTGGACCTTAGGTTAGCGAGCAAGCGTCTAATTCACTGAGCCACCGCGGTACGAGGATGATGGGGAGGCAGTCGTCAGCTGCAGGGGAACAGGATATGTTCGATGTTGGCGGTTAGCCTAAATTGAGTATTAATCTGTGTGAATGAACCTTTTATCTTTATTAAACTTTATATATATTAGTGCAGACTTGTATTCACTGTCGAAAGAAAACACAAGACTGAAGGATATGGAAATTTGTTACATAAGCCAAGAACGGTGTGGATGGGCGCCTATGGGTGTCACACTCATGTTTACCACTTTAATGTTATTTATATCATATTTTGCTCGTTGTAAATAAAAACTTATAACCACATGCTTATTGTGATGTGTTTTTGGCCATTTCGTTTATCAAATCTACACGAGGGCAGCTTGTATGGAAGCAGTGGTGACTCCATAGGCTCAAAATAATATTTTTTGGTGCAAATATACATTTTTTATTTGTAAAAATGTTATATAATTGGAAGAATATACTGCCTAATTTCATAAAATGCAGGATTTGATTTTTCAAAAACTGTTACCCCATGATCCCCTCTAAAACGGATTCGAAAAATAAACATAGATTCCAATAAACTTGGACATTACCCAATAACTGGAATATACGCCAAATTTCAATTCCTATTGACTATATCTCTTTACGACGTTGAAGAGAGCCTTTACTTGTGCAATGAACAGTTTCTTAGTGCAGCACTCCGGTTTGCGTTCGAGTGCTGTAATAAAATTCCAGAAAGGATATCACTGTCAATATTTGGCTTGATAGACTTTTGCCTTCTAATCTGTTCGGGAGTTTTCTGGACTATACGGGACCTTTGACATGGGGTGGAACACTCGATTGCTTTGTTCATGCGCCTCCATTTTTTAAAACTAGCAGTCCTGATGAGGAATAAGTATTAGAAACGCATATTGACTCAATGAGATATGCTCCTGTCGAATTGATTTAGGTCAAGAGCCTTCATACTTTTGAATGTTCCCCCGGTAGACTTGTCGCTTCTCGTTCTGTGAATTCGCTTGCTTTGGAAAGTTGACCCCATGTCAATAAACTCAGTGTTCAATTTGAATTTCGCATCCAAAACACGTGTCAGGGTGAGTTCTTGGGCACAGCCCCAGTGGGGGTGTAGGGGAGGAGGGATTTGTACCCCCAACTGCATCCCAACTTTTTTCTAACGTTTTTTCCTCAAAATATTTGTCAGAATGCACCGAATCCATTATTCTATTCGGGGAGCCCTCCCACACACTCCCTAGGAGGCTTGCATCTACGGCGTTTCCACAGAGCTACCGCATTTTAAATATCAACCTTGACAGTTAGGTCCCCCGCCCCCCATTCAGACATTTTACTCCCTATTTATAGACCCAGACTGGGGAATCTGGCGTCGCTACTATATAGCACATCATAGCAATAAATGATGCTTAAAGCTTAATTAAAATGAAATGGACATTTTGGTTTATCTCTACTTGGTAGGACTATTGAGGACGGGCAATATCGATCACTGGGTTATGCGCGGGAATACCAATAAGGCAACCTTGAAAAAGTGACCCAGAAAACCTCACAGTTGAGATCATTTTTTGAAATCAAACCAGATATATAAGTGCAGTCCACAGCTAAGGGACTAAAACAATAGAGTTATCTAAAGATAAATAACAAATAAGAGAGGAATCGATTTCAACTTTATTTACATCTGATTTTGGGAACACTAGTCTTAATCTTTCTGAAGGCAAACTGATACCCAAAAACAAAGAAATCCTAATTTGAAGTATTAAATTTATTTGCTTATGTTTTTAAATCGGTAGATTCAATATCCAATTTGCATGAATTAATCTGAATTTTATAAGAATAATGACGTTTGTATACCTAACGTTCCGTGCACGAAACTCTTCAAACTTGGACCCTTGCCTAACCGATTTGGTATAAAAGGGACCGAGGGACCACAGCACAGCATAGATCGTGGGGCGACAAACCTTAAATCATCAACATGAAAGCTTTCTGTGTTCTTCTTGCTGTGGCAGTCTGTCTCTTGGAGGTCAACGCCGATTGGTAAGTTTGAATTGAATTATTTTGCTTACCAATGGAATTTCCAGCCCAGCTATTCTGAAAGATATTACACTGAATAATAGACAGACGCATGGCAGGTCCAGGTCGAAATTACAGCTGAGTAAATTCGAGAGCAGCTAGTTTGTCAATGACTTCTAGCAACGGAAACTTAATATCTATGCAGATCTTCAGATGTTTCATTTCATGCTACGATTGACTCCACTTGCCATCCATGATCTTCGATGCTTTTATGCATCTCCTGTTCTTGAATGAAATGAAACATTTACTTGTTAGTGTCTAGAATTATGGTAAAATTTGATGCAATCGTTTTAAAGAAAAATCTCGTCAGATCGTGGATGAATTGTGTAGTTACCTGCAGCAATTTCTCATTTCCGACAATACTGGTCGTGCCAAACTAGTAAACTGCACTGTTTCTTGTTCAGAATCAAGCAAAACTCGTTATGTTCTCCGGTAGTGCTTATTTGATCCATGTTCGATTGTCTTTCTGAAAATGCCGATGTTCTCATGCAACTGCGCCAGCCAATACCAGTAAAGCAAATTTGAATGCAATTATGCTTTTACTGTACGATTGCGCTCCATGGGTCTATATAAAGAATCTAAATTGTAGGTGTTCCCACTCTTGTACCAAGACCAGAAGAAAGTCTATTAGATGTGGATGGTATGGGTGGTCTAGATGTACCAGATACGAGTAAGTAGCTTCATTTTAAAGGGTTGTCAAGAAATTCTCTGTTGGTTATAATTGGGTTTTGTTAACATTAATATTTATGGAACTAATCCACCTTCATTTGGTTATAAATTCTTCTGAAAAAAAGTTTTTGTTTTTGATCCCACTTTAAAAGTGAAATGAGTTATTAAAAAATATTAAACAGTTTTAAATGCGGAACTTTATGACCCCCAATTGGCATGGCTCATCCAAACGTATGGGACCAGCCCGATTTAGAGTTGACAAACATGTCAGTTTGGTATGGAGTTTTCCCTTAATTTCAATTTATCTATTGTTTCAGATCATATCAAGGAACCTGTAGAAGTTATTGCAGTAAGTATTCATTCTAAAATTACCTTTCATTGTATGGTGTTGATCGGCAATTCAATCCACGACTTGTAAATCCTCCAAATACTTCGATTGCTGGAGCTAGTCGATTATGTTAAAATAATTGCAGGGTTTAACGTTTGGGTCATTTTTCTTCTATTTTTCTTCAGGAAATGGTGGATGGTCCACATTTGTTGAATCTGAACGATCCTCCTGCAGTGCTACTTGTGGGAGTGGAACTCAGACCAGAGTTTTGAAGAGAACTTGTACCAACCCAACCCCATACAACCATGGTGCTCAATGCCGTGGACAATCCTACAAAACTGAAATTGTGTCCTGTAACGAAAGACCATGCCCAAGTAAGTTTTTCTTTGAATAAGGTATTACTACTTTGAAAATAGTTATATGTTGTTCAAAATGAACAAAGAGCAATGGTACATGTGTTCAGTAGCACAAAGTCGTGTTCTTTGACCGCCTTTTCATCTGCTATTTAAAGGTTACGGCCGAACCTCATTTTTGACATTAAAGACAAGGAAGTCAAATTTTCTGAAAGCAGTCATATAGCTCTTTCATACCTTTTCTAAACTAAAAACACTGAAATATAACTCATCGGTATGTTTCTATAATTTTTGAAAATAATCCTCTTAGATCCCAATAACACCACGGCCTATCGTCGTTTAAATTAGGTGTAATAATAATACAATATGTACAGGTTCGGACGTGATGAAGAGACGATGATGACGAACCTGTCGTTACCAATCAAATAAGATTTCGGGGAAGAGAGGGTGGAGCAGACACTTTATTTAGAAATTAGGATTAAGGATCTTGATATTGGGTTTTCGTTTTGTATCGTACGATTTGATTGATTAAAAAATAACGTCATGCGAACAAGACTGTATTAGAAAATAAGTTAAATTACAGTGGAGACGAAAATCTTTAGATTACACAAAGAAACATAATTAACCCGGTGCTGCCATTACAGTACTATTTCTGGTCACTTTCAGTTAATGGTGGTTGGTCCGACTGGTCTGATTATGAAGAATATGATGAGTGTACTGCTCTTTGTGGAGGTGGAGAAGTTGATGAATACCGAGAGAGATCATGTACCAACCCTAACCCAGCTTATGGTGGTGATGAATGTGTTGGAGCCACAATTGAAAACAGAACCATTGAATGCAACACCCAGAAATGTGGAGGTATGTTAACATTTTCTGAATTTAATTTGTCTTGGTGCTGTGGAAACTGTCGCTAGTAAAGCTGAGCTTTCATGACTTGATGACGGTAGATTGCGTCGGTCATGCCTTTCTGACAGTTTACCTTTACTATTCCTAATAATAGCATTAGTAGTAGAGGGTACTATTGCTCCGACGCCAAGGCCCTTTGGGCAAACGTGTATCCAAATAGTCCATGAACAAACTGGAAATCGAAAATGACACGTTAATGCTGCTGTCAAAATTCCGAATTGAAAATACCGGTCTGAAATACCCACGACTGATCCTCTACGTTCTATATTAATTTGTATTCCTTTAATTGTATCGTTATCGTTTGTTTTTCAGACAATTGTCCCAAGAACCAGGTGAAGTATTTCACTCATCCCGAAATCAACGCCAGATATTACCAGTGTGATAACGAAGTCGCCAAGAGAAAGGATTGTGGTGATAACACCATCTGGAACCAAGAGAAACACACCTGTATCCACGAGAACATCCCTGCTGCTGCTCCCCCAGCTGAAAGTATTTGCGATGGCCGAATTACTGTTGCTGACGACCAAGACTGTACCAAATTCTACATGTGTGCTTTCGGTAGCCGAACTGGACAGTCTATCCAATGCGCACCTGGTTTAGCTTACCACTCAACCTACCAGACCTGTGTCCATAGAGCTCAAGCTCCCAATTGTTAGATCACAACCGTCCTTCAAGGTTGAAATTTGATATCATCTGGAAAAGTGTGTAATATTTTGTAGCAGTCTTATATTCAAATAAAGTTTAGAATATATCCAAAATGTTTTTATTGTCTAGGCTTTAAATACCGGGACACTCAGACTTTTCTAAGGCTATTGTATTTTAACTTCGCCTTCGAATCTCACGTAAAGGTTAAGAAATGGCTTTAAATGTGATTTGAAGGCTTTGTTGAAATATTATAGCCTTTTTAAATATAAGACTTATTAGGTAGAGGAAGAGATTCAAAATGGCTGTGAACTACGTTAGTGTGTGTTATTTCCATGTGAGAACCATACGCAGTTTGACTTCTATCTGCTGTAAATGAAAATATTTAGAAGATGATATCTTAATTTAACTTGAAGTTGGTATAGTGCAAGTATAGAAATCGTGTCCCTATATATTATTATAAACCCTTATAGAATAAGAAAGACTGTTTATTCAGAGCCCCAAATCGATCATAATAGGGTAGTATTTATTAAACACTTAACTTCGGTCATTGAATAGGTGGGAACAAACTTACAATAATACAACTACGCACATAGTATGCAATGTATTCATGTTGGACTGTCCCATTTAAAAACTGACATACCATTCGCCGTTATTTCTAACCTGACAAATATGGCCCTAGACGCGATACAGTGACTCAACTACCATAGGGGCTGGTTGAACCAAGTCCACGGGCCCCCACCCCAGAAATAAATGCAGGAGAGCATAATATGTAAAAGGAGTACCTTTCGATCAAATCATGCCTTAGTTTAGAAACAGGAATTTTTTTAGCTGACATAATCAGTAATAGTGTTCATAGCTCATCGTAGAAATGTGAGCCTTCAAATCAATGTGTATCGATAATTATTCACGTTTGAAAGTTAAAAGACGGCCAGCCTTTCTTTTGGGGAAACACAACATTGATCATTTGGTCAGATGCTTAAATATGCCACCAGCCATTAACCGCCAAGTCGACCTGGGCCCCTTATTCTAACTTGGGGAACCCTCTCTTTACCCCGCGTTTATTAACAATGGATATGTAATAATAAATATCAGAATAGACAGATTATGTATTCGCTTATTTGAAAGCATTGAACCAAGTACTGTTACAGATAAAAGGAAAATGGTGATTAGTTTGTAAGCGACATTTTTAAAGAAATGAGGAACAAAAATGGCTGATCTGCGTATTTTCGGGACGATATTTATCATTTTGGGATGTACATTCTTAAAAGGCAAGTATTTGTGATCACGAGAGGCATAGGGATGGGCGTTCAGAATATATCATTATGATATTCTGTCTTTTCAACGTATTTCTATCCCCTTACTACGTGAGTTCCTTGAATATGGCTTTTCCTAATGTGTATTTGTCGACCTATCCGTCTTGATTTTGGAATATAGACATCGGAGCCCAGCATTATTTGTGAATTGTGATACCGTTTTTTTTTTAAAAATACTCGAATTTTGCTGTAATTTGTCGAAACGTGGTCATAGAGAAGGTTCTCTTCTCTCTTCTGTCTACCTCTATTGGAAAAGTTCACCACAATATGAACACAACCAGAAAATCATGCACAAAGTCAAGTTTTGATTTTTAATACATACATGTTTTCCAGGACATGGTTCAACACTACCACCAACACCGACAAGTAAGATATTATAGTGTTTTATTTTAAAAAAAAATAGTAATCCAATAACAGCTGAAGTAACGGTATATATCATATGAAGGGCTGAGATTAAGAAGGGGTCTAAGTACCAGTTGTGTAATTCCCATTTAAGGGACAGATGCACAATCAACACAGAAGGCACAGAAACATTTCTAGTACTTTTGAAGACTATTTACATATATTCAACACTCAAATCAATGGCGCACTTGTCCCTTTCAAATTCTCTATATTTTGTAGACTCATTGTATTGCTAATTTTAGAAATGACTGTGATATATTCCCCAGAATTTCAAATCTCCATTGAAAGAGTGGGCTTAACTTTTAAACATTTTAAATGATATTTTATACCGTGGACAGTCATTTCTTATTTCGAATTGTCTCCATAGTGACATGTCTATATGGATGCAATAACCCAAAGAATATAATATAATGAATCCCCTTTATAACAAATATAGTATGAAGTTTACACATTGTTGCATACGACAAAAGTTTAAGCTCAACATATACATGTAATTGTAAACAGTTTAGGGGCGTTGGTGAGTCGTTCACTTGGGAGGTTCGTTCTTTGATTCACGTTAAAATCTGCTATGCCAGAGAACTGGCGATGTCGGCAGTCTCGTCTTCTATCCGATTTATTTTCAGGTATTTGTCGGACTCAAACAGTGCGAGGATACAGATGGAATAACACAGCTTCAGGAGTAACCGCCTCCCAGCCTTGCCAAAAACCATATAATAGAGGTGGGTATCTCGACTTTAAACTAAAAACATCGCAGTCAACGGTGACAAATTAACTGATTGCCATCAATAGCATTTAGTGATGATTTCTAAAACCGGAGATTGATCACATTAGAGCTGGGTGATATACGGGTATCACCATAAATACATGTATATGAATGTACATCGTTAGTAATGGAATAATATGGTAGTTATCATGATATACTGTATACTAATTCATCTTGTGACCACATTACTGTGACCACTTTCCCATATAACCAAAGAGTCGTGACCTATTTACCAGGTGGCCTTATATACTATATCAATTACCTTTTGGTCAATTATCCTAGTGACTTATTTTTCTTGGCAAAATTATTATGATCCTAATTTCTATGTGATCAAATTATTGTGATCTAATTTTCCATGTTATCTAATTACTGTGATCCAATTTTCTATATTATGATCGAATTATTGTGATCTAATTTTCTATGTGATCGAATTATTGTGATCCATATTTTTTATTTGATCAATATTAATCCAATTTTCTATGTGATCAAATTATTGTGATCCAAATTTCTATGTGATCAAAAAACTATGATCCAATTTTCTATGTTATCAAATCATTGTGATCCAATTTTGTATATGATCAAATTATTGTGATCCAAATTTCTATGTGATCAAAAAACTGTGATCCGATTTCTATGTTATCAAATTACTTTAATCCAATTTTGTATATGATCAAATTATTGTGATCCAAATTTCTATGTGATCAAAAAACTGTGATCCAATTTTCTATGTTATCAAATCATTGTGATCCTATTTTGTATATGATCAAATTATTGTGATCCAAATTTCTATGTGATCAAAAAACTGTGATCCGATTTCTATGTTATCAAATTACTGTGATCCAAATTTTTATGTAACCCAGTGATACATATTTACTGAAGAAAACACATTTAAAAGCAATGTTACCTCTAATGGTTTTAGGTCAAACCTTTAGGACCTGTACAGATGGAACGTGGTCAGAGCCCGAATATTCTACGTGCAGAACAGTAGCGGTAAGTCAATATCGTACCAAGTGTTTTTCATTCACATGATAATGATACTTACATAGATTTGTGTTTTACAGATACTGAAAACGATAGGCCCTAGTCATTACACATGAATAATAAATTTGGCGGAATATATATAAAAAAAACAGCAGACTTTGTGTATAAATCAATTTTTTCCCAATGTTCACCAATATACATTTTTTGTTGAGTTTGGTTTTTCCGTTTATGTCAGAAGAAGGAAGTGGTCTTATTTTTGCAGTACGACTATGTTGAATGGCACTCTCCTGTTTCCCCGAACTGCTGAGGCTTCAGTATATTTGTCAGTGACCCAACTACCATAGGTACTGGTTGAACCAAGTCCATTGGTCCCCGCCTTAAAGATGTTATCACCTCAAAATTCTTCCATTAAATTACAGAGGGGTCTCAGAATACGGCAGAGTATAATAATATTAGAAACAATCCCGAGGGACGGGGTAGAAGGGAACTCACTTAAGTCCGCGGGTGCCAAAATGATCTGATCTGCTGAGGTTTCAATATCTGTTGTACAACTTATCTGAATAATAATTTCAGATAGCTGATATAAATACCATCTATCTAATACAATATGTTTGTTGTGGTACAACTATTTTAACTGTGCTCTTAACACTGTTCATCTTGGTGTTCGCTTGGAGGTCTGTTTTTGTTCTTTTTTCCTTCAAATTTCTTTCTGGAGCTAAATGTTGTTCAGCAGTAACGTTTCTATGAATCAATGGATAGAGTTGGGGACACAGAATTGACAATGAGGATGGGGCCTTACAGCACCTCGTAGAAACGCCAATGAGCAGGCTTACAACAACTTTAGACGTACTGGCTTCCCTCTTCTACTTAATCAAACATTTCAATCTTTGTCATCATACAAAATGCTACATTTCAGAAATCCCGGACCAGGAACCACAATATTAGAAATTAGTTTTGGATTAGCTATAATAGCTAGTAATACTGCTTTCATAGCTGGTGTCAATAACACGGCGGATGAGGTAAGAACACTTTTCTGTTCGTCTGTTCTGTTTTGCCATGACGATAAGAGACTTTTTTCAACTGTTCCCAAGCTATAGCATAAGAACCTCAGATTATTGTCCCATATTGGCGACTTGACAATTTTCCCAGGTTAACCATGTTCCTGTAGAGAATCAGAAAGAGTTCCCAATCTTCAAAATGTAAATGTATTACGACTATGACCTATACCTTGACTGCATTTCTTGTAGCAGAGAAGTTTGTAAATGCATAAAGTTGGATTGTACGCTGGATTGTATACGCAAGTGATTACAGTCATAATAAATCTTTCTGTCTGGGTCTTAAACGTTGCATTTACAAACTTCCGTGATATAAAACAGTTGGTTATTGCAGTCAAGGTATTGGACGCAGTTTCAATGCCTTTCAGGGTTTGAAGCAAGTTTCGTTCTTATTTGCTTACAATATCTAATCATTTCTTTGTCAATTTACAGTTGATGTGTAAAATTACAGCAGTGTGTTTACATTATTTACCAACTGTAACAGTATTTCATTTATTCGCTATCATATTTCATCTGGCAACTCTTAAGGTTCAAACCAGTCCCAATTCTTACTGCTGCCTTCTATTCACGGCTTGGGGTAAGTAAACCGAAACCAGTTACTTCAAAGGGATAGGTTCTCAATCCGTTTGATCAATCCTACCCTAACATCAGATACGAGAATTTTTAGCTAAGATAATAAGTAATAGTTTTCACAGCTCACGGTCGAAATTTTATCCTTCAAATCCACGTGTGTCCAGTATTATCCGCGTTTGAATGTTAAAATGACGACTCATCTTTTCTTGAGACTCATATATATAATGTTATATTCCTAGTTTGAGGTATTTATGGAAGGAATTCTGCGATTTTCGTACATTTTTAATATTTCTGAAGACTATAATTTACTTATTATATTCAAGACCGAAATCAACCCCCGAAAATGACGAATCTGTCCCTTGTGGTTAAAACTACCATATTTTAGAATTGCCCACCGGACATGTGGTTGACTGAGGAATAGCTAGATCATATTAAGGAACTGTTTTCGTGATAGCAGTGTCCATCATGGGGGCCAGCTGTCTGCTTATGATCATGATGCTCCCTGTGTGTTATTTTAGGGACTCCAGCTATTATCGTTGGTTTGTATGGATATTTTACCACGCTGGAAGAATATGGTAACACAGAAAAGTAAGTCAATGACAATCTCTTATTTGATTTTGAAATCTGGCGACGAAAAATGATATATTGTATTGTATTATATATTGATGTCCTTCGATGGTCATAGCATATAATAATCTTAAATTTGATTTAAATATTAATCTGATATATTTGTTACCTCCGAGCTAGTAGTGGAAGTGCCTGGTAATGATATGATTTTCTAGTCATCTTACGTATATCTGTGATACTTAAAGCTTTTGTGATCACCATCCCCCTCCAACGTCTGTGATTAATGTAATTAAAGGGGGTTTTCCTTATTTTTTAGTGTCAAATTAAGCATTAATATTTGATTAATTGGTGTTTCAAATGAATTATCATGTATTCTTAATCATATTTTTATGTTCTTATTACATATAATTAGGAGTTTTAATCAATCATAAATGACGTAAAAAGACTTTTTGACCTTTCTAGATCGGTCACTCATTGGAATTCTGTTGGTAATTCTCTTCTGATTTAGCTAATTTTGAATTAATTATGAACCCATCATTACAAAAATCAGATTATTCCTGCTGTCACAACAGCACTTCCCTTGGGTTTTATATGCGGTGGTGACAACCATCTAGTTCATACCAATTGGCAATTTTTACTAATGACATATTTTCAGTTGTTGGATGGTATTTTCTATCAGACTATTCTGGGTATATTATGGTACTTTAATGGCAATTTGTGGGGTACGTATCTTCAGAAATTCGATGTCGGTTTGTACTTTATTTGAATATTGTAGGCAGACTATGTTCTTTTACAAGAGAAATCTCCAGAATGACTGCAAATCGTGAGCATGCATATCGCAATATAATACACATCTTCCTTTTTAAATTACTTACGGTCATTTTTAAAGAAAAGTCGTGGTTTAAAATAGAGCTTGTTGGCATTTTTTGCAAACTAACCAGCCGACATATCAAATTAAAAAAAGTGATTCCATCGTTAATGAACTTTGGAACGTTGGAAATACCACTAGAATAGCCATTTTTCAATACTCTTACAATAACGCTCTCTTTTTTATGTTTTACAGTTAATATTTATAAGTGTATTAGGTATCATTTATCGAATGAAATTACCAGGAAGAGGACCAAAGTTAGGGTTGGTATTTTACACTCGTGAAATTGTACAACTTTCGACACAATTTGACACGTAGGACCCCAATGTCTAGCCCGTTTTCGTTGTCAGTGATGCAGGTCGCTGGTGATGACGACACAATGTCTACATCTGGCAGTATTACCTCGACACTCACAGTAAAAAATCGAATACCTTCGGGAACATCTGCGTACAAGCAGGGTGTATCTATCACCATTTGGTTAAAAAAAACGTCCGTTTGACAATTTATAAGCTTTATTTCCAATCTTTCACTAAGATATAAATATTTCAAAATATACCACGAAAATTGGCGCACATTGACACTTTAAAAGGAAGCAAGTAATTGCCAAGATAGGTTATTGAACTGTCAATCTGTCCTATTGTAGATCTGTAATTGGAATTGTGCCACTGTTTATTGTGTTTATTACTACTATAATGGCATGGGTGACGGGTGTGATTAGTGTGAACGAGTACAATGATGGTCTTTACATCACACAGATCGTCTTTGGAACATTCAACTTCCTCCAGGTAGGTTTCTCATTATGTTCCGCGATGTTCTCTGATGTCCCCTGATGCATGCTCTGTGGTTTCTTTTCAAATTTTACCATATGAAACAATGTAAGTCGCATATAAGTTACATGCTCCAATTCAAGATGTCATTTCAGCAACATGCCATTCAACAATTCTCTAACGTTCACATAGCCTGATATATGAGACATCCGTTCCAATCTCTGTTCTTATTACCAAGGAGAGAAAAAATCAATGCATAAATATACCCAATGTTACCAAATTATGAAGATAAAGTAAGTGGTATGTTCAGGTGCCCCCAGATCGTGCGTGGATAACAAAGGAAATGCCTTGAGGTATATATATTTGAATGCCATTCAGGCTGGCCAGAATCATTCGAAGAGGAGATGGTACTTTCATGTGTTATTTTTGTAGGGACTGGCATATCTTATCGTCTTTGGAGTTCTGGGATCGAGGGTAAGTACTCTTGCTGATTCAGCATATCTAGGACTAAATTGTATTTTCTGGCGACACTATATTTTACAGTTGCTTGTGATTTACAAGTTTCTTTGATGTCTCTTACTAGCAATTGTACATGTATCATCCCGTGTGTAACCCAGATGAAAATATGACCCAATAAATGCATCAATCCGTTCGACCATATGTTCGTCAAAACTTCATAAACGAAGAACGCTGCCGTTCTTATCCTGCGTGGTATGCCAAAATTGGCTTGTCCGTATTAGAGTTTTCGTGGTATATTAGTAGAACAGTTCACAAATAACCAACAGTGTGCGTATGTTACCGTGTCTAGCAAGCTATTTCTTTTACTTCTAGGCAAGGAAGGCGAAAGGTAATACTCAAGTTACAGAACTCGTAACAATAAACTAAACGATAAAGACACAGAATAGGCACAGATCGATTTTTTACTCTCAGTTATCTTGCGATACCCATTGGAGTTCCATTACTTACCGTTATCGTTGTGATCTCTGTTACGTAGCATTACATATTTGTAGCCTACACATTGGCCTTTTACAAGATATAAATTCAACAGCCTTAAAAGGACATTCAGCTTTTTTTGTAGGTCGAAAAAATTTTTCGTGCTTAGTTAGAGTAGTCTAACTAAAATTAGGTCAAACTTTCGTTCCGACTTTTTTTTTATATTAGCATTTATTTTTAATAAAGCCACTTCTGTTAGGGTCTAACGACAACCCTCTTGAACGTTCGTCAAATCAACGTGTGCAACTGGATGACGTCTGCTTTAACCTATGAAATTCCTAACCGCTCCAGCGCTGGTATTTTATGACGCAATGTTAATCAGGTTAGGTCAAAATGTTAATTTTACGACCGTTCTAGAGGGCAGTCGTTATACCTTAACTTGGGTGTCTATATTTATTTTTTAAAAAAAGCATATATAAACGGAACGAAAGTTTTGTCTAATTCTAATTAGACTGGTAGGGCAAAATATGACTCTGATGGAACCCAAATGGATATCAAAGGGTTTTGGGTTTTTATTTCCGCTTTCACGTAGACTATACTAGAAGCATTATTTTAGATGTGAAATATTTGTAAACTTTTTTTTTCTTTATTGTTTGTACTAAAATAAACCAGAAAGATTCAAAGTCTTACTTTGCAAGATATTTTATCCCTCGAATAGTAGTTAACAAGGATGTCAAATATTTCAAATACAGCATTGTGTTTCCATTTCTCTTAGCAAAAAGTGACTTTCGCCAGGTATATCCGGTTAGTATGTTTCGGTGTCACTGCGTGAAAGCAAAATTGCTTTAATATACTTCCGGTTTTTTCTTTCCCACCAATGAGTTGCTGCGGATGAGGAGTACTGTCCTCGAGGTAATTTTTCATCCATTTAACTTCAAGCTTATGATTTCAAATGCAACTACAGCGAATGCAGCACTTGCTTACTCTTTAGAACACACACTACCACTCTGCTATCGTATTAGTCACCTTGCACAAATTTCATGACCAGTTGCATTTTCTCTTTAATGACGATGCTTCATTTTCCAGCATTTCAAAAGTCCGAAACAAGGCTTTCCGGGATGTCACTTCCTACCGTCACCACCTATACTGGATACAAAGACGATCATGTAAGAAACTGGTCATATAGTCATCACCTCAAAAACACGCAACGCCAAAACGATATGGACTTTTACAGCACTGATGAAGATGTACAGCAGAGATATTTAGAGAGCAGACGCAACGAGAACCAACGAAATGAGGTAGGGTGACTTATTTCACTGTACTGACAGCACGGATGTAACCATGTAATGAACTGGGGTATACCATTTCTACAATTTGCAGGTCCATTATGATGCATTATAAAATCTTGAAAATCGCTGTTGCTTTTAAGCTTGCTGTCAGAAAAGTCGTAAAGATAGTCTTACGGTTAAAGCTCTTATTGCGGCCAATTAGATTTTCAAAAGTTACGCTTTCAAATTGTAGATTAAGCCTCCACAATTTTCAGAAAACTCAACGATCTCAGACGGTGTCCTTACTGAAGCACGTATGTGTCAAATTCAGAACAAATAGAATCATCACACAGCAATGATATGTTTCTGAATTTCTGAACATTGTCCAACTCAAACGGACATAACCTGTATCTACATTTAATACTCTTTCACCGCTGTTCAGTTGTACCTTGTCTATAATACAGGAAACGTCTCAGATGACCACCCGTGAAGATTTACAAGATGATACACCAGAAAAACGAGGAAGTACAGTGGTGGTTGTCCACAAAGAAGTAGTCCACAATTCACAAACAACAAATGGGTTTCGTGATTCTGATGATGATGGTGGAATTACCATTGAAAACACAAAGATTCTCGTTGAGGGATCACAAGCCGTATATCAAAGCCAAACTCCCTCCGACGATCGTATTGAATCAAAAGATACTGAAATCAGAATTAATGCTGTTGATGCTGCTCCTGATAATGAGGGTACACAACCTTCGAGTCCGATAACCCAACGACCACGAAATGCCATCGATCCACCAGCACCCAGTCGAATATCAGTAACAGAAATTGAAACTTTCACCATTGACGCGCCAGAAGAAAATGTGACAAGAAATGAGTCCAATGAATTCATCCTACAGGATGAAGGCGAGGTCGTAATGGAATATAGAAATGCGAACAGAGCTCAAAATGATAACCATCCAACAACTGAACATATAGACCACAAAGAAGCATCTCATGACCATTCTGAAGGAAAGCCCGGGTTGGCATATCCTTCGTACCTGGAAGCAGCAGCAGCTGATTATGATGCATCTCAGACAGGGTCCATGATAGTTTATCACGAAGACGAGGGTAACACCCTGCAACACATCACCAACGGCATAGCTAGGGGTAATGGATATGAACAGGCTGATGAAGATTCAATCAACATTGGTGCAAGTTCTTCCCCGCAACCAACTCCATTAATAGCTGATACTGAATATCAACCTCAGAGCACCTCGGACATGCAGAAAGAATCACAGCCAACAGTAAAATCGAGCTTCCAAAACAAATCAAAGTGGGGCGTTAGCTCATCGTTTTTGGGCCGATTGCGTGAGAAAATTCGACCTGTTTCAAAAACACCAAACTTGAGAGATTCTCCACCAGAAGTTGCTGTGCAACAAGAACCCAGTCAAGAACCAGAACCAGCTTATGAGAGCAAGCCTCAGAACAATGACCAATCATCTAATTTCGCCATCCAATCCGAGAACCTTAAAGATGAAGGGCCCCATCGTCGCCAATGGGACAGACCAGATGAAGACTTGCTGCCTCCACCAACTTATAATTCTGAAGCACCTGAAGCAATAAATCGACCACCAACCCCTCCGTCACCATTCATCGGACCACCGCCTTTAGCACCCCCACCACCGCCTATTCCTCAATCCAGTCCATATCCAAAACATGTTTCGTTTGCAAACGGCGAAGTAGAAATATCAAGTCATTTGTAGTCCCTCGGGCTACGTCACATACGAGTACTTTCACAGCTTAGAATTATATCAGAGATTTCGGGTCTTTTTTTTTTTACATATATACCCACTTGCACAAAGTGTCAGAAACAGTGGGGTCGGGGGTGGGGGGGAGGTATGGGGGTCACGGGAGGCCATAATAATATAATTATGTCACTTTAATATGAATTATAACTATTTTTGCATCCTGAAATAGAGATGTGTCTAATTTAAACCCTTCTTCTATGATTTCTATTAAGTAGCAAAACATCAGTCGTAATTTATGGTAGTAATGCTTTTCAAAATTTGTGATATGCTTAGTTATATATTTATTATTTTACCTCTAAATTGCTTTTTATATATATTTTGATAAATTATTGTTATGTTTATTCTTTTCATTTTAATCTTAATCTTGGTTTGGCCTCAGGATCGATATAACGTAATGGCTTACTTTTCTACACCTGATTGGGCTAATGAAGACGGTAACGCATTGAAGGATATTGCTAGGACGGCTTTAAGCCTTCCATTTTAAATTTCAGCCCCTCCGAACTGCATCACTTTATGGGAGATACCTTGTTAAAATATACGCAGGTATATCTCGACCTCGACGGCCCAAACCCCTGCTTCATTCTAGATTTGTCATTATGTGACTGGCTGGGTCCCATCAAGTTCGCTCTAAGCATAGTGCAAACTTGGCTTCGGTTTTAGTGATGTAGGTCTTAGGGACTGATTTGTTTCGTTAATTTATTAGAGGCCCCCTTGTGTTACACAAGTGATGTACATGTTTAAGACCCCCTCCTACATAATTCAAGATAGAAAAAGATTATGTCAATGTCCTATCTTTGAAACAATCAACATAAATAAAGTAAGACATAGAATTCGATTTCGTATTGCATTGTACAAAAGGGTGTATTAACACAAAATGAATTGAATCATTTATATATTTGACAAAATACTTTATGTGATTGACACTGGACGAATTAAACAATATGTTGTTGAGCCAATGGCTCGACCTCCACAAGACTAGTTTCAATAACAACTGGATCTTCAGTATCCTCTATTAAAGTCGTTAACGTCTGATTTCCTCCTTCCGCGCCATAATCTTTGGCGCGCTTTGCGAGACGAGATTTAGTTTTAGATTTAGAGGAAGATAACCCTTTTCGTTTTGATCGTTTATAGATGGGAGTGTCCGTGGACGTAAATACACTAGATTGGTCATTATGACTAGAAAACTCATGCTGTGACTGTATGCTACAACAAAAACAAAGGCGCAATAGGACGTTGAACGTTAACGGTTGATATTTCTTGACTAAAACTATGACAACGATCGTGATGAAAATCAGAACACTGAATACAACGATTAATGAGACTCCAACATTGAAGAACTCCGAAGACTCTGATTGGTCATATGCATTCAATGTTAGAACAGAAACACAATTGGACGGTAATCCAGAGCCAAACGAACGCACCTCGCAAAAATCCACAATTCCGGTCTCGGCACAGAAAGTATACTGAACAGACTGAGATAGACCGTCTATGACGTGAGTAGGTGACGCCACATCCTGAACTAACATGCACGCATGCTCAGTACTGTTACTCCAATACCTAATGGTATATTTTTGATGGTATTGTAGAATCTTTGAGATATTTTTTGAATTCCGGCCTTTCACTTCCAATTCGACACTGTCGTCAGTTACACTTTTTGTGATGAAAATTATCGCCAATTCACATCTACTTCCGGTCCAGGGACCCTGACAGAAACATGTGGCTTGTGTTGGTCCATCATTGGTCACTGACTGACAGGGGTTGTCATTTTCACAATTCAGTTCATCACAGCTGGTGTGTAATACTTTCTGCAACTCTGTAATATAAAATGGAACCATTTTGTACATGCTTATTTTTCGCCATCACAGAGTATTTTTTTGAGCAATTCATAACTATGAAATGTTTCCAGTGGGCACAATTGAAAATCCAAATGTTGCATACTAAAATGCGCTCATATTCAACCCATTCCGCTGTTGTTTTCTGACACCCAATAAGTCTTCTCGGTGTAAATATGAATTTATATTACTCCAATTCGTTATGAATTGATTGAAAAGCCTGTTACAAGCTTGACATGTCCACTTAAAAAGCTACAAATACGTGAACTGTACCTTGTGAATTTGCTGATCCTATTGCTAATACCATCCCGATGATTATAAGGATAGCTAGAAATAACATTTCATATCTTCATTCTGTATCATGTCCTCTGCAAAAAGAACATCAAATAAATTACTGATATTGCAATGTTACGTTTATTAGTTTATATAACAAAGAATATAAGGTGTATATGAAAGGTATATTACCTCTTGGAATGAACAAAAAATTGAAATTTTTAAAGGAATCTTTGTTCATCATCGGTGTCATAATCATACAACATAATCCCTCTATAATCCAATAATTCCATAAAATTAAGTAATAATCAATAAACTGATTCATTTTGAAACATGCCAAGAAGCATGGTAAGTCCAACTGATAAATATATACTATAATTGATCAAGTTTGATACTTTGAATTTTATGTCAATTCTAAGAGGTAGTAATCCTTTCAGGCATCTTTCACTTCGACAGGTGAAAGGCGCTATAAGTGTCCCCGATACGCATTTAGAAAACCTTTTTACAACCCTTTTGTCGACGACTTCACGTAAAATTATTCCTTGCTTGGGAGGTCCGCAACAGATCAACTAAAAAGGACACTAAAAACATAAAGTATAGCTCCAAGACGTAACGCAAATTTCCATGGCTTCTTGTCTGTATTCCGTATACACCATTTTGACCTTGGCTTGACATCTTTTTAGCACTCTTACCACCAGAATTTCCCCTGTCCTCACAAATGTTCACTAATTAGACACTGCATTTTGTTTCCTACGCGGTGCGGATGTAACAACCCATATAGACGTATCACAAACTAGAGCACAATTTACAACCTGTACAAAAACTAACAAGTTTCAGTGGAAAGTTAAAGCGACCAAGAATGTTGTCATATTGATCAAGATTTGTTTACATGTGAAGAAAGGTTGACATTCTCGAGAACATATTTGTCAACAGACCACACTGGCGAAATTAAATATACACACCAGGCGTTTTCTAGGAGCACCATGTGGTTACAGCTATAATACTATTCGCTCATCAGTTGGGGCGGTTAGCTTAGAACTTATCACATTTGCATGTTTTTGTGATAATACGTATTTAATCACTATGAAGGCTACTGAATGTTCTTCTTCTCTGCTCCGATCCATTTTATTTGTACTCGTCGAGGCCTTCATTCGTAAAGTCCAAATTTTAGGCATTCACTTATACGTATATAAAGCTTTTATCTATCGAGTTCAAAGTAGCTTATAGGGAATAGTACCTTTGATTGGGAGTTAAGTACTGTCTTTCCATAGTCATCAAACGGACCACGGTTAAATTCTTTCGCGTTATGGGTTTGGAAAGGCTTAACTTTTCCTAAATAGACTAGTATGTGTCTACTTTTGAATTACTTAGAATTTTGTAAAAATTTCGTTTATGTGTCCAAAACCCAGTGTAGCATATTTCTTACTAGACGACATTTTATTGAGAAACAAATATTTATGACGTCACTTATCGCGAAGGGCCTTGTGTAATAAAGCATATTTGGCGATTGGTTGTATTGCGAGAGTCACAAACGTTTGATTGAAATTGGAATGGTACAAATTGATGCTATAAGTGTCTCCGATACACATAACATTTTTTAGAAAAGTTTCTAACGATACTTTTATTCTCATCAACAAATTTTATAGATTTTTTAGACAAAGTCGACGTCGATCGAATACATAAAACTATTAAAATGATTTCTTTGTGACCTGCACTTACCTAAACAGCATGTGGTACATTTTCTGTTATTGTTAACCCTTCGATTTGCTGTTTTACAAAGGATTTTCTGCATCATTACACGTCTAATCAATACAAAGAGTAAAGGGTTAAATCAGCTGCAAAGACTAAAATTATTTTGGTTCACGTTTTTGGGCGAAGCAGGATTTCGGAAGAAATTGGGGTTATGAACTGCTCTTCGACGGCCTTGAAGATAACGAAATACAAAAAACTGTTCCGGTTGCTGGAATGTAATGGTGTGAAATAGAGTTTTACGTCCAACTTTTCTGCACCTGATTGTTCTAAGTCAATAGTGTGCAATGAGGGAAATTTTACAAGGACAACGGCATTTGACTACTCGTTATTGATTTCCAGCTACAGCACACATAGTTTACTCTGATCCAAACCATTGAACAAGCCCTTTCCCCTACGATCCCGTGCATAACTGACGATTGGAAGCTGATAGAAAACTATTAAGATATCATTTCTACCTATGCCGGGATCGAAGCCTGTACTGACAGATTAGCTAGCGTCCCACTCGATCAGCTACAGTAACTTGAAGGAAATCGGAAACTGGACATTCAGGTTAGCTAGGAGGCGTCTTACTCAGTCCCTGTTCCAGTAATATAAAGGTGCTGCTCTCACTCGCTGAGCTTCAGTTTCCCTTGTTCCGGTGCTAGGCAACAACTATTTTTTTTATATTTAGCCTAATTAAACAACCTGTGCAATATAAATTAGGTAACAGCGTGACGATATTGATCGTGTGCATCAGCTTGCGACCAATGTTGATCGTGATGGAAGATGGCTTTGTCTAGGGAAAATGTCTTTCAGTTTTAATAATGAAATCGTTATTGAGAATCGAAAAAGATAATGACTGTAGAAAGCAATCAATTCGTTTTATAAAACCTGATATTGCAAAATAGATTTTACACAATGTACATATCATTAATAAAATTAATATCTTTTTGGAAGAGATTCATATTACGTGTTTAATATTGATATTACGAATTTAAATGTGAATTTAATCATCATGGAAATAAGCCTATTATAATTCGCAATTTGTATGAAAAAAATCCACAAACCGACAAAAAGAACGAGGATGATATCCTGAAAAGACAGTTCTAATCCAAATTTGTCGAATAATTATCAGGTGCTGATATCGGGACAGATTTTCTCTCAAAAGCTAAAACTACTCGGCGACATGGTGAGTCAACTCAGCGTCAAGGTGGTCACATAGCAAATATTTATTTGGTATATTTATTGTAAGTAATTGTCTCTTTAAGCGAAGGCTTTGAAGTGTAAACTTCACATTACAAATAATCTATTCATGTAAAAGATCACGTAAGAGTTAAATCATTAAACGAAGCATATATAGCGAACTAAACATTTATGTATCTAAGGTCACTGACAAAACATTTGAAAAGATATGGCGTTATAGCGACTCCTTGTTCAATCCCTGCACTTAAAATATTTGTATACTATACAACCCCAATATGATATGGCTTACTTTTTGACATACCCTCGAGAAAATCTAACCATGTCAAAACCAAACTATATACTAAATTACTCTATAATCCCATTTTGTGCTTGGGGTTGAATCATACAATTTTAAAGAACTAATACGTCAACTGATTTCAATCTAAAATGTTGAGGTTTCAATTTGCATACCAGAATAAGTATTGATGAAAGCAGGTAAAGGCAATTAATCCTTTGGACGGGAAAAGAGGAATACTCGAATAACATTATGACAGAATGGACTTTTCAGTGCATACAGGCATCTCCATCTCAACAACTATGTCTGTTATACGCAGGTGCATAGCTACAGAGGGGGGAGCAGGGCTGTTGATTTAGTTCTATATGCCGGACATGACCAACGGGGAAGGTAAAAAGGCCAATATCCTCTATCGGTAATCAAGTATAGGTCAGCCATTACATGTCAGTCATATTTTTCAAAGAAAAATAGAATGACATATCTAATGAAATACGGAGCAATCACTCACTGCTTGTCATTACAATAACTTTATCATGAACCCGGTTATCACATAATCCCTTAAAAGTGTTTAATTAATCAACCGTTCTATTGACCAAACCAACGACTACCAATCAAGAAATACCATGATCAGAACGAGTTTGAAAGAATGAAGGACATCGAGTAACTCACGCCACACCATGTCATTCGACCCGACCAGATATAACGAAGAATCAAAAACCAAACCAACAACACAGAATCAGCCAATTTGAACCAATCCACCAATTACCAAAAACTACCTAGTTTGCGATAAGAGCTTCCGCTGGAAGCGAAAGTTTACTTGTCATCTACCAACCAACCGTTCTAGTGTCTATTAACTGTACCTCATTTGTTGCATTTAGAAGGACTCACGCCACTAAAACATTTTATGCAAATGATGTGTATACGAATGCAGTCTAGGCTATTTTTAGAAATCTCTTTCTCTCTCCCTTGGGTTTCTGCATGCCTATTTTTGGATAAAATTTGGTCTAGATTTGGAATTTGATGTCTGAAATTGCATTATCTTTCAGATTTGGTGAGATGATGAGAGACCTAAAGGCGGAAGGCTAATTCTAAAGATAGTCGTTTTGTGAAGTGCCAAACTCTAGCGGATGAGTATAACCGGTAGTAGTCTACTTTCAATTTTAGTAGCTCAAAATTTTCATTGTCATCATATAATGAATTTTTTAGGAGACATTGAGAATTGGTCAGGCTTTTCATTCGACATATTGGAAAGCTTTCAACGAGATTTTCTTGTTTAACATGGGAAGAGATGGCAAATGAATTAGTTGAGTGAGTCCGGAAATTGAACTTATTTACTTCAATTTCTGATATATATATAATAAGTTTCAATTTTTTTAATATAATCTACTGTAAAAAAAACATCATTTACTAGGAAAACTGTAATATTTTATTTCACCCAATAACCTCCCTTGAAGTGTGTTTGACCTGTTATTTTTTCACCCCTAAATTACCTCCCTTGAATAATGGAACTCAATAAAATATTGTCTCAGTGGGAGGAGTTATTGGGGTACTATTAAGAGCATTAAAGATGGCAGGAGATTAGATTGTTTACAACGATATGGATTTTTTTTTTGCCGAAGCAGACAGCATCCACAACAAGAAGATTAATTACTGTTCAAAACGATCTTGGCTATTGAATTGGGTGCACCCCCAAAATTAATTGTCTGCCCCCCCCCCCCCCCCCCCCCTGACGTCGACAATTAGGGCTGTTTTACATGAAATAAAACCGCAAAGCTTGATCGAAAATAATTCTTACTTAATTTATTTCACAATGTTCATAAAACCAAATATCCGGACACCAAAGTAAAAGAAAAATTCAAATATTAAAT